TAGTGATGGGTGTAAATCACCCAGCAGGATTATGAAAGATAACAGTTATCTTAGTGATGGGTGTAAATCACCCAGCAGGATTATGAAAGATAACAGTTATCTTAGTGATGGGTGTAAATCACCCAGCAGGATTATGAAAGATAACAGTTATCTTAGTGATGGGTGTAAATCACCCAGCAGGATTATGAAAGATAACAGTTATCTTAGTGATGGGTGTAAATCACCCAGCAGGATTATGAAAGATAACAGTTATCTTAGTGATGTGTGTAAATCACCCAGCAGGATTATGAAAGATAACAGTTATCTTAGTGATGGGTGTAAATCACCCAGCAGGATTATGAAAGATAACAGTTATCTTAGTGATGGGTGTAAATCACCCAGCAGGATTATGAAAGATAACAGTTATCTTAGTGATGTGTGTAAATCACCCAGCAGGATTATGAAAGATAACAGTTATCTTAGTGATGTGTGTAAATCACCCAGCAGGATTATGAAAGATAACAGTTATCTTAGTGATGGGTGTAAATCACCCAGCAGGATTATGAAAGATAACAGTTATCTTAGTGATGGGTGTAAATCACCCAGCAGGATGACTCAAAATTCAGTGATTTATTTCAACTAGGATCCTTGTGTTATTTGTCTAGTAGTAGGCTAGTTTTGGCATATATAGTCCCCTCAAGGAAGGTTCCTTGATGTTGGTGAGGGGCTCTTGATTTAGGGAATTAGATCTGTGCTCCAGTTCCCCGAATTAAGCCTGAATGCCTTCCACATCCCCCCCCCCCCAGGTGCTGTATAATCCTCCGGGTTTAGCGCTTCCCCCTTGATTATAATAATAATGGCATATATAGTAGAGGTCAGCCACGATTATCACCTTAATAGTATATAATTTGCATGGGATTACTTAGAGTAAGGAGATACAATGAGGATACAGTCAGCTGTATTGGTTACATGACCACCGAAGAATGTCACCTGGACAAAAAATCAATTTTTGTAGCTATTGTATAACCCTAATTTTAAAGTGGTGGAGTGGTAAGCCAGTGGAAGGCGTCGGTTAGATGACGGAAAGCTCCAGCTGTGGGTCATATGGACTAGCAAAGGATTCCAGTGGAAACAAGTCACTGAGACCCGTGTCAGGATACATTTATCCTGTTCCTGACGAATCGTACCTAACCTAACCTAGCTTCATTCATTAGGAACCTTGTGGTTTCTTTGCATTATGATTGTTAGGTATCTCTGCCCAAGATGCTACCACAACAGTCCACAAACACCCAGGTACCTACTTAACGTGTTCAGGCAATCCATTTGACTCCCTTTACTGCTGTGTACCAGGTGTGTGAGGCCTGTCCACCTACTGTAGTGGAGAAATACACAGATACAATATAAAGCGATTCTTTATTGACAACATCTAACCCACACAACAGTCTTTATCAACTCACAAACAGATCTAGTAGGGTAAAGAGTACATAATGTGGAGAGTCAGGTGGAGAATGTTGGGGACGTTGTGTGTATGAGAGGACCTACCCGTTCCTTGTATTTACCTTACAACCTACCCAATAGTATTCTCCACCTGACTCAACATTACATACGTGTACTTCTTACCCAGGTAGATCTGTTTGTGAACATTAAAATGGTATAAAATACCGACAGATTGTTAGGTAAGACACATATGCAACAGTTAGGTATCTTTATTTCGAAACGTTTCGCCTACACAGTAGGCTTCTTCAGTCGAGTACAGAAAAGTTGATAGAAGCAGAAGATACTTGAAGACGATGTAATCAGTCCATCACCCTTGAAGTTTTGAGGTGGTCAGTCCCTCAGTCTGGAGAAGAGCATTGTTCCGTTGTCTGAAACAATATCAAAAACAATATTGTTTCATACTATGGAACAATGCTCTTCTCCAGACTGAGGGACTGACCACCTCAAAACTTTAAGGGTGAGGGACTGATTACATCGTCTTCAAGTATCTTCTGCTTCTATCAACTTTTCTGTACTGGACTGAAGAAGCCTACTGTGTAGGCGAAACGTTTCGAAATAAAGATACCTAACTGTTGCATATGTGTCTTACCTAACATATCTGTTTGTGACTTGATAGAGACCACTGTGTGGGCGAAACGTAGTCAATAAATAATATCTTTATTTCTACAAGTACCGGTACAAGGTAAACAGACCATAGCTGACACCAATATTCGCATTATATTGCATTAGTTGTTATTTTTCCATCGTGTCAGTATGTTATGCCATTTATCACCTTTTAACTGTAGGTACCACTGAGTTAGGTTAGGTAAGGTTCGTCAGGAAACAGGACAAGTGTTTCCTGACGCGGGTCGTAGATAATGACCCGCCTTTGGAGCTTTTGGTCGTGTGACCGAGGCCTTCCGCTGGCTTACCGGTCCACCCCTTTAAAAATTATAGTTATGCATAACCATGTATTACGCAAAGTTATTCTTCTCTTACGCTAGTACCATACATACCTTTGTTTCGTAATTTTAACAACGTTCGTAGCGAGGTATTTTGGATACCGAACTCGGTTATACATCGACACCATGCCCAACCCTTCTAGGGTAGGGTAGGTGCCTGAGTCCGAGCCTTTAGCTCATAAGACTGTCATTCCATTAGCCCCTTTGGGGCGGGGATGGCAGACCAGAGAGGCCTAGCTTGTGGCTAGGCCTGGGGACAGTTGGTCCCAAAGATGAGGAGGTACTTGTGCCTCCTCCCATGGGAGACTTAGGTCTCAGACACTTCCTAAAGAGGGAGCCAAGGCCGGGCCACCACTTGGACAAGGCCCGGGCCGGGAGAATACCGGCTAATCTTTAACTATTAACTAACTCGGTTATAAATATGAATTATTTTCGACTGCTTTCACCTGGTCTTCCACATTTATCAATTCCAGTTGTGATGTGAATGATTTAGAAAACCGAGACGTTGAAAAATTAGACATGCAACAACAGGTTAGGTTAGGTAAGCTTCGTCAGGAAACAGGACAAGTGTGTCCTGAGGCTCGTCTTAGTAACTGTACAAGAATGGATTGATCACATCGACTCCAGGCTGAGGGACTGATTACCTTAGATTCCACATCTTACAACTTATTTGTATTGGACTGGAGAAGCCACTGGCTGGCGGAACGTTTCCATCATAAATGTTCCAAAATGTGGCACGAGTGGGCCATTCTTGGCTTCCAGTTGTAGTGCCTCGTAGCCTGCAGTAGGTAGATTCAGGGTACTGCGAGCCTCAGGAGGTAGACACAGGGTCCTGCGAGTCTCAGGAGGTAGACACAGTGTACTGCGAACCTCAGGAGGTAGACACAGAGTACTGCGAGCCTCTGGAGGTAGACACAGAGTACTGCGAGCCTCAGGAGGTAGACACAGAGTCCTGCGAGCCTCTGGAGGTAGACACAGAGTACTGCGAGCCTCAGGAGGTAGACACAGAGTACTGCGAGCCTCTGGAGGTAGACACAGAGTACTGCGAGCCTCTGGAGGTAGACACAGAGTACTGCGAGTCTCAGGAGGTAGACACAGAGTACTGCGAACCTCAGGAGGTAGACACAGAGTACTGCGAACCTCAGGAGGTAGACACAGAGTACTGCGAGCCTCGGGAGGTAGACACAGAGTACTGCGAACCTCAGGAGGTAGACACAGAGTACTGCGAGTCTCAGGAGGTAGACAGAGTACTGCGAACCTCAGGAGGTAGACACAGGGTCCTGCGAGCCTCGGGAGGTAGACACAGAGTACTGCGAACCTCAGGAGGTAGACACAGAGTACTGCGAGCCTCAGGAGGTAGACACAGAGTCCTGCGAGCCTCAGGAGGTAGACACAGAGTACTGCGAGTCTCAGGAGGTAGACACAGAGTACTGCAAGCCTCAGGAGGTAGACACAGAGTCCTGCGAGCCTCAGGAGGTAGACACAGAGTACTGCGAACCTCAGGAGGTAGACACAGAGTACTGCGAACCTCAGGAGGTAGCCACAGAGTACTGCGAACCTCAGGAGGTAGACACAGAGTACTGCGAGCCTCAGGAGGTAGACACAGAGTACTGCGAGTCTCAGGAGGTAGACAGAGTTCTGCGAGCCTCAGGAGGTAGACACAGAGTACTGCGAGCCTCAGGAGGTAGACACAGAGTCCTGCGAGTCTCAGGAGGTAGACACAGAGTCCTGCGAGCCTCAGGAGGTAGACACAGAGTCCTGCGAGCCTCAGGAGGTAGACACAGAGTACTGCGAACCTCAGGAGGTAGACACAGAGTACTGCGAACCTCAGGAGGTAGCCACAGAGTACTGCGAACCTCAGGAGGTAGACACAGAGTACTGCGAGCCTCAGGAGGTAGACACAGAGTACTGCGAGTCTCAGGAGGTAGACAGAGTTCTGCGAGCCTCAGGAGGTAGACACAGAGTACTGCGAGCCTCAGGAGGTAGACACAGAGTACTGCGAGCCTCAGGAGGTAGACAGAGTTCTGCGAGCCTCAGGAGGTAGACACAGAGTACTGCGAATCTCAGGAAGTAGACACTGTGCCTGTCTACACAGGAAGTTGTGTTGCAGAGGTCTCAGACCCCTGCAACACAAGTCAATTGTCTTGCAGAGGTCTCAGACCCCTGCAACACAAGTCAATTGTCTTGCAGAGGTCTCAGACCCCTGCAACACAAGTCAGTTGTCTTGCAGAGGTCTCAGACCCCTGCAACACAAGTCAGTTGTCTTGCAGAGGTCTCAGACCCCTGCAACACAAGTCAGTTGTCTTGCAGAGGTCTCAGACCCCTGTAACACAAGTCAGTTGTCTTGCAGTGGTCTCAGACCCCTGCAACACAACTGACATCAAATCTTTCTTAAGTTATACCATAAATTAAGTTAAGATCTTAAACTTAACCTTACGAAACACAATAAATATGGCAGTAATTATGTACAAGGTAGGATCATAGTGGGAAAATAGGAGACAGGGGAACTTAGGTGCCTCTTAAAGTCTATTTGCACCAAAGTTACAGATTATTTCACACTAATAGATAATTTTAATATACAAAATGATAGGCCTACCCAAGGTACGTTAGTGGTTGAAAATAAATTAAATTGATCGTTGCGTGTATATAATCAGTATATTGTATTTTTTTTGTATAGATGTAATAAACGTGGAATATAATAGACGGAAGTATTGAGAGAGATTGTGAAGATCACCGGGTTAATAACCCAGGGGGTTAATAACCCAGGGGGTTAACCCAGGTGGTAAATAGCCCAGGAGGTTAATAACCCAGGTGGTAAATAACCCAGGGGGTTAATAACCCAGGTGGTAAATAACCCAGGGGGTTAATAACCCAGGGGGTTAACCCAGGTGGTAAATAGCCCAGGAGGTTAATAACCCAGGTGGTAAATAGCCCAGGAGGTTAATAACCCAGGTGGTAAATAGCCCAGGAGGTTAATAACCCAGGTGGTAAATAGCCCAGGAGGTTAACCCAGGTGGTAAATAGCCCAGGAGGTTAATAACCCAGGTGGTAAATAGCCCAGGAGGTTAACCCAGGTGGTAAATAGCCCAGGAGGTTAATAACCCAGGTGGTAAATAGCCCAGGAGGTTAACCCAGGTGGTAAATAGCCCAGGAGGTTAATAACCCAGGTGGTAAATAACCCAAGGGGTTAACCCAGGTGGTAAATAGCCCAGGAGGTTAATAACCCAGGTGGTAAATAGCCCAGGAGGTTAATAACCCAGGTGGTAAATAGCCCAGGAGGTTAATAACCCAGGTGGTAAATAGCCCAGGAGGTTAATAACCCAGGTGGTAAATAGCCCAGGAGGTTAATAACCCAGGTGGTAAATAGCCCAGGAGGTTAATAACCCAGGTGGTAAATAGCCCAGGAGGTTAATAACCCAGGTGGTAAATAACCCAGGGGGTTAACCCAGGTGGTAAATAGCCCAGGAGGTTAATAACCCAGGTGGTAAATAGCCCAGGAGGTTAATAACCCAGGTGGTAAATAGCCCAGGAGGTTAATAACCCAGGTGGTAAATAGCCCAGGAGGTTAATAACCCAGGTGGTAAATAGCCCAGGGGGTTAATAACCCAGGTGGTAAATAGCCCAGGGGGTTAATAACCCAGGTGGTAAATAGCCCAGGAGGTTAACCCAGGTGGTAAATAGCCCAGGAGGTTAATAACCCAGGTGGTAAATAGCCCAGGAGGTTAATAACCCAGGTGGTAAATAGCCCAGGGGGTTAATAACCCAGGGGTTAACCAGGTGGATAAATAGCCCAGGAGGTTAATAACCCAGGTGGTAAATAGCCCAGGAGGTTAATAACCCAGGGGGTAAATAGCCCAGGGGGTTAATAACCCAGGGGGTTAACCCAGGTGGTAAATAGCCCAGGAGGTTAATAACCCAGGTGGTAAATAGCCCAGGAGGTTAATAACCCAGGTGGTAAATAGCCCAGGGGGTTAATAACCCAGGGGGTTAACCCAGGTGGTAAATAGCCCAGGAGGTTAATAACCCAGGTGGTAAATAGCCAGGAGGTTAATAAACCCAGGGGGTAAATAGCCCAGGGGGTTAATAACCCAGGGGTTAACCCAGGTGGTAATAGCCAGGAGGTTAATAACCCAGGTGGTAAATAGCCCAGGAGGTTAATAACCCAGGTGGTAAATAGCCCAGGGGGTTAACCCAGGGGGTTAACCCAAGTGGTAAATAGCCCAGGAGGTTAATAACCCAGGTGGTAAATAACCCAGGGGGTTAATAACCCAGGTGGTAAATAGCCCAGGGGGTTAATAACCCAGGTGGTAAATAGCCCAGGAGGTTAACCCAGGTGGTAAATAGCCCAGGAGGTTAATAACCCAGGTGGTAAATAGCCCAGGAGGTTAACCCAGGTGGTAAATAGCCCAGGAGGTTAATAACCCAGGTGGTAAATAACCCAGGAGGTTAACCCAGGTGGTAAATAACCCAGAGGGTTAATAACCCAGGTGGTAAATAGCCCAGGAGGTTAATAACCCAGGTGGTAAATAGCCCAGGAGGTTAACCCAGGTGCTAAATAACCCAGGGGGTTAATAACCCAGGTGGTAAATAGCCCAGGAGGTTAACCCAGGTGGTAAATAACCCAGGGGGTTAATAACCTAGGTGGTAAATAACCCAAGGGGTTAATATTCTAGGTGGTAAATCCAGGAAGGTTAATAACTCATAGGAATGTTTTTAGGTGCCACTGCCCAGGATGCCACCCCCACCAGTCCACTAACACCCAGGTACCTACTTTCTGCTAGACGAACAGTGACAGCAGGTGTAACTAGCACCCAGGTACCTACTTACTGCTAGGTGAACAGTGACAGCAGGTGTAAGGCAACTAACATCCAGGCACCTACTTACTGCTAGGTGAACAGTAACAGCAGATGTATTGTAACTAGCACCCAGGTACCTACTTACTGCTAGGTGAACAGTGACAGCAGGTGTAAGGTAACTAGTACTCAGGTACCTACTTACTGCTAGGTGAACACTGACTGCAGGTGTAAGGCAACTAACATCCAGGTACCTACTTACTGCTAGGTGAACAGTAACAGCAGATGTAAGGTAACTAGCACCCAGGTATCTACTTACTGCTAGGAGAACAGTGACAGGTGTAAGGTAATTAGTACTCAGGTACCTGCTTACTGCTAGGTGAACACTGACAGCAGGTGTAAGGCAACTAACGCCCAGGTACCTACTTACTGCTAGGAGAACAGTGACAGCAGGTCATTTGAAGGTCACAATTCAAACCTAATTTCTAGGATAAATAATCAGATTATCCAGGGATAATTTGGTTAACCTTCTTGGTAATTAGGTGAAGTCAGTCATTGGATAATTAGGATAATTTACAGTGAAATTCCTGGTTAATTGTATGCCAGTGTACATACACGGTCTTTTAGGCAGGTGGTCAATCCCTCAGTCTTGATAGGTGGTATACCTAGAGTATACCTGGAGGGTGTTCTGGGGGTCAACGCTCCCGCGGCCCGGTCCATGACCAAGCCTCGTGGTGGTTCAGGACCTGATCAACCAGGCTGTTACTGTTGGCCGCATGTAAACCAGCGTAGGAACCACAGCCCGGCTGGTCAGGTACTGAAGGCAACCAGGAGTCTTGAAGACAGCCAGGGGTCTTGAAGACAGCCAGGGGTCTTGAAGACAACCAGGGGTCTTGAAGACAGCCAGGAGTCTTGAAGACAGCCAGGGGTCTTGAAGACAGCCAGGGGTCTTGAAGACAGCCAGGGGTCTTGAAGACAGCCAGGGGTCTTGAAGACAGCCAGGGGTCTTGAAGACAACCAGGGGTCTTGAAGACAGCCAGAGGTCTTGAAGACAGCCAGAGGTCTTGAAGACAGCCAGGGGTCTTGAAGACAACCAGGGGTCTTGAAGACAGCCAGAGGTCTTGAAGACAGCCAGAGGTCTTGAAGACAGCCAGGGGTCTTGAAGACAGCCAGGGGTCTTGAAGACAGCCAGGGGTCTTGAAGACAATCAGGGGTCTTGAAGACAACCAGGGGTCTTGAAGACAGCCAGGGGTCTTGAAGATATGCAGTGTCTTCAATGGAAGACACTGTCTTGCAAATTCAGGTGTCATCTGCAAAGGAGGACACGGTGCTGTGGCTGACATTTCTGTCTATGTCAGATATAAGGATGAGGAACAGGATGGGAGGCAGTACTGTGCCTTGTGGAACAGAACTTTTTCACTGTAGCCGCCTCAGACTTTACTCTGTTTAATACTATTCTTAGTGTTCTGTTTGTTAGGAAATTATAGATCCATCTATTTACTTTTCCTGTTATTCTTTCATCACACATTTTGTGCGCTATTACACACTTGTCGAAGGCTTTTACAAAGTCTGTGTATACTACATTTGCATTGTGTTTGTCCTCCACTGCATCCAAGACCATGTCATAGTGGTCCAGTAGTTGTGAGAGGCAGGAGCGACCATCCAAGACCATGTCATAGTGGTCCAGTAGTTGTGAGAGGCAGGAGCGACCATCCAAGACCATGTCACAGTGGCCCAGTAGTTGTGAGAGGCAGGAGCGACCATCCAAGACCATGTTATAGTGGCCCAGTAGTTGTGAGAGGCAGGAGCGACCATCCAACACCATGTCATAGTGATCAGTCCCTCAGTCTTGATAGGTCAGTCCCTCATTGTTGATGGGTGGTCAGTCTTTCAGTCTTGATAGTAGGTGGTCAGCCCCTCAGTCTTAATAGTAGGTAGTCAGTCCCTCAGTCTTGACAGTAGGTGGTCAATCCCTCAGTCTTGATAGTAGGTGGTCAGTCCCTCATTCTTGATAGTAGGTAGTCAGTCCCTCAGTCCTAATAGTAGGTGGTCAGTACCTCAGTCTTAATAGTAGGTGGTCAGTCCCTCAGTCTTGATAGGTGTGCAGCCTTGATATGACACACACACACAGTAGTAGCGACCAGTGAAGAGGCGGGGCTAGAAGCTGTAAATCGACCCTTGCTACCACAGTTAGGTGAGTACACATACACACACATAGAGCTAAGGCCCTATCAGGCCACCAAGCAGGACCGAGAAATGAAGGGGGAGAGTACCTGGCAGCAAGGATAACAGTAGGAGAGGGTGGAGAGGGGGTCAGGTCCCATGCCGAGGCATGACCATGCCACCAAGAGCTACAGGAAAAAATAAAGGAAGAAATGGCTATGTACTAACGGGACCCAGCGACACAGAGGGAGAGGCAATGGGAGGAGGAGGGGGAGAGGTCAGTGTTTATTCATGAGCTCCAGGAGAGCGAGGGGAGGATGCACAATATAAAGACGGCAGAAAGAAAAACGAGATTGAAAACATCAAAGAAATAGGCGAGGAGGACATGACTTAATAAATTTTCAGGGAATACGGGGGTATTTCAAGGGGAGAAATTGTCCAGTCAACATGATTTTTGAGACAAAAACAGTGCAAAACGGGATCTTGCAAGAGAAACCATGACTGAAGAAATGGTAAATATATAAGAGGTTGTTCCTAGACCAAGTCAGAACAAAAACAGAACGACAGCAGCTGAGGGAGAGGACACAGAAGCGAAAGGGGCTAGCAAGAGAGAGAGGGACAGAATCAGCAGAGGACAACCAGAGC